ATTGCCCCTTTATCCTATATAGTCGGCAACTCTAGCTGCAAAGACGCTGTACTGGGTTTGTGACCAGCCGTCAGTTTTTCAAGTAAAAACTCCGCACACCGCGCTGGTTGGCCATACACCGCGCCTTGCCTTTCTTTTCCTCTACGCACTGCCGACCCGGGCTATTTAGTCGAATATAGCGCCCATCTCGTATTATTATAGACTCTGCCGATCTCCAATACAACCGAAAACGACTATTCGTTAGCCTTCATTCTCTTACGGCTATCCACTACTTCTTGCTTCTCTTACTAGCCCACGCTTTTCCTTTACTCCCATCCCCGTGATGCTATCGCTTGACCTTCTAGGGTCGTTACAGGCGTGGGCAGCTTCCCACTACCATGAGAGTACTTACGGGCAACTCGCCCTTTTCACACTGGCCCTAGTAGGCCTAGCTACCCTCACCCGCCACTGGCTCGTCCCCGTGCCAGCCAAAACCCCCGCCGCACTCCACCTTGTGCCGTCGTCGTCGACGTATCCCCGCCCCCAATACACCCAGGCCCGCCGCATTCCGTTTTACGCGTTCCTATCCGATTTTCTGGCCAATCGCATTGAGATCAAGCAGCGGGATGGACAGGGTCTGGGGGCCTTGCCCGACTACCTAAGCTTTCCCTTCACGGTGCGAACGGCTTGGACCCTGGTGGTCCGCCTACTCCCGGGGTGGCTATGGCACGCTAAAGCAAGTGACCGGAAGAATTGGTGCCGTTTCCATGAGCACCGCGATGATCTGTTCGAGGCACTGCTGGGCCGCCAACGGATTGGGTTTATGCACCGGTTTTCGGACCACGATGAGTCGCTGGACAACGCCGGGGAAAACGACCTACCCCGTATCGCCCAGGAAATGCTCCACATCAACGCCGACGATCGGCTCCTCAACCTCAGCACCGGATGGGGTACCCTGGAACTGTACTTGGGGTCCCAGTTTCCCCTGTTTATCACCACCGTATCACCAAGCCAAGAGCAGGCCCAGCATGCCTATGATTTGATGGAACGGGCGGGCATATCCGAACGCGTGCAAATCGAGACCTGTGACTTCCGCGATCTCCCCCCTCAGGAGCAGTTTACCAAACTAGTTTGTCTGGAGGCCCTGGATTGGGTGGGCCAAAAGAATTTGGGCGATTTTTTCCAGCGCTGTGCCGATGTCTTGGTCCCTGGCGGCACGGCCTTGATTTACTGCACCACCTCGCCGTCCGCGTTCACGGGTAGCTGGTCCCAGTACCTGGGCGAAACCCTGCACTACCACCTGTATACGCTGACCACCATCTGCCCCGGTCGCGATACGGCCCTGTTCGCCACGTTGAATGACTACCTCGACGAGATCCACCGAGCGGGCTTGGAGGTCGACCTTATCGAAAATATTTCCCTGGACGCGTCGATGACTTACGCCCGGTGGTTCGAAAACTGGGATCAGGCCCGGCATATTATCCATATGCGGTACGGCGAGGACGTGTACCGCCAATGGGAACTCTACCTGGCCTGGTCTAGCTCCATTCTGCTGCGCGGTGGGCTGAGCAAGCACTCCCTGCTGCTACGCAAGCCCATCCGGTAACGCTCGGATAGCCTAGATGGTTATATTCGAAGTGCCCAATCGGTTCATATAATGTAAAACATGTTTTAACGTAATTTCTATCAAATTTTGGAAGCTGTCCATTTGCCTATTCGTATAATCTAACCAGTCTGGGGTCTTTTAAGAAAGTATGCTTAGTGCCCAAGTCCAGCCCTCCCGTTTCCCCAATGTTATTCCTACAGCTATTTTTTTCCGGGTTCTCTATTCATATTGGCCAGGGTTTAGTTTATTATCTAGTAAAACGTACTTTGGCTTATAGGGTGATACACCGCTATGGTTTGAAAGCTCATCGAGTTTGGCGTGGTTGAGTACAATGTGACTGTCCAATACTGTCTTCTAGATCTAAGCTGGTCGCTGGTTGTAATATGCAGTGGGCCACATGCCACGGGGGAGGGAGGTGTAAGTAGTGTAGGACCCTCCCTCCCTGTCAGCAACACTGAGTGAGTCACAAGGGCCACAACCCAGTTCCCCATCGCCAAGGGTAATTCGCAGTAATGACCCCCGGAGAGAGTGTCAATACTTATTATTATCACATCGACTACTACTAGGCTGGGCTTCTGTTCAAAACTCTATTACTTTCGTCGATCGATTCTCCCATTGTGAATTCCTTTCCATACGACTTTCGTGAATTATAGTTGTTTGGGACCTAGAGACGTATCTAATACACCCACCTTAAAATCCCCTGTCGCCAGCATCCTATCGCATGTCTACTCCCGCCGCATCCCTCTCAGCCGCCAAGAAGCAGCTCCGGCAAGAGCTGCGAAAGAAATTGGCGACAATAGGCCCCTCGGCCATTGAGGCCCAGTCCGTGGTGGTAACCAGACAAGTGCTAGCCCTGCCCCAATACAGCCAAGCCCGGCGGGTCTGTGTGTACCTCCACATGAGTAAAGAGGTGACCACCAACGGAATAGTGGAAGCCATTTTCCGAGACGGTAAGTCCCTAATTGGATTGCAATTGTAACATGGGCCTCGGTTATCCCATGGATTTCCCAGCTCGTTTCCGCTGCTATACTTGTATTTTTAATCGCCGACGGTTGAACATTTCCTCCGTACCTTCATTATCCCCTCCTTGTAGATAAACAGTGCTTTGTGCCTCGGTGCACGCCGTCCACCATGGACATGGTCAGGATCCGAAATATGGAAGACTTCCTTCGTCTCCCCAAAAACAATTGGGGTATTCCCGAGCCGCCTTTATCCGAGAACCGTACCGATGGTAAGGCCCCGTCCTTTAACTTACAAAATACTGTTGGTCTAAAATGGCCTCGCAATTGCACCGAATATACCCAGCTCTATTATTGCTGGCTATGCACCTCCACAGTTACATTGTAAAATATGCTATGCAGAACTCTTGGCCATCTAATCACCCCATATAACGTGCCACGTCTTTTATTTGCTCAACTAGTGTTTGACCTCGGTGGCCCTGATCTCATTATAATGCCAGGTAGGATAATTTATTGACCCTGGTAATTAGTGGTATCCTTAACCGGCCATTCTGTATTCTTGCCATACGTCTAGAGTCGACTAGCAGATATAAGGGGCAAATCCACTCCTAGCAAACTACACGCTGCTAACCCGCCTTATTGCATATACGTATTTTTATATTGGCTAGGCCTGGCCTTCGACCAAAAGAAAACCCGTCTAGGTCACGGAAAAGGGTAAATATTCATTTTTTTAACGCAACTAGGCTCTTGGGCTTCACTTTGGAGTATCCTAACACATTGGTTAATTACTCATCAATTATTCTCTCGGCAACTTGTCAATATCGGTGCATATACTCCCGGTGATTAGCTACTACGATAAATACCTCAAGAAATGTCGCGAATTCGCAGCTCAGCGGAACCAACCCCCGCCCGCTCTCGGTAAGAATGTCGTTTAATATTTCAACTCTCCGAACTTGCCTTCTCTTAGATACACGGTATTGAATAGTTGACAATGGCCAAAAAACTTATCGAACAGCTATATGTCAATGTATACATTCATTCCCAATCTAACAGTGGCACTTGCCTTACAGGAGCAAATATTGGATGAAGATCTGCCACATAACGAGTTGGACGAAAAGCCCGATGTACTTGTGACACCCGATCATGTTTGGTAAAAGCGTCCCGTGTTCTCAAAAACTACTGCATTTTTAATACCTTCACACTTTTCATCGAATGGCGCGCCTTTCGAAGATGAAATCCCAAACTAACCGAAAAACAGTGACAGCTTATCTGAGAGAATATATTACCGGTACTATCGTATCACCTGAATAAATTTAGTTATAGATGTTAGAATCTATACCATTAATGCCGCTTCAAAAAAATATTATTATTTTTTTGCCGAAATGATATAACGTGTAATTGAACCGTGACGGGTTTTGCCTGTGTCGCGACGAGTAGGGGGCTAATACGTCCTCTATATTTATATATATATATCTAAACTTAGAAAAGGCTGTGCCCCTGGTTGTAGTTACGCAGGGACGCGCCATTTTGGCTGCTATTCCAGGACGTAATATAATTATGACGCCCATTGGTAAGCTTAGCTCTGAGGCATTTCAACTAATATTGGTAGATCCTCGGCAGTGAATACGCGAGACGTTCCCATGAGAAAATACACTAATTGGAAGGAAAAGGGTTAGATCAGCCCAATGCATTACTGCGCTATCATCCAACTATACGCAATTAAACGTGGCCTCCGAAGTAGTATTGGGTTGAAGGCACATAGAGTATATAATACATTAACTTTTACCATTCGCATCGACAATAATGGTTAGGCTGGTTTCTGAAACAGCCATTAATGGCGGCACCCCTGGCTAAATCAAGCAATATTATATGTAGATACACACGGCCACTGTCCTAGATGTAATATTCCCCTACGTAATTATAATTTACGAACTTTACATCTATCGATACCGATAATTAATTAAATCGTATCTGCCGCGTCTCAAAACAAAGGACAAAGGGGGCAGTCATTAAAGGATCGCCCTTTGTCAAGAAACCAATATGCCAATAATATGCACGATAGTCTCCAAAAGGTTGAGTGCGAAGGACGCTCAGTGCTTATGGATAGAGAAAGTCGGAATATGTAGGAACGAGGCTACTAATATAACCCATTCGACACCTCCCACTATCCACGTTCCAATTCTATACTACCGCAGATGGATTGCAGCTGGAATGCATTTATTGACAGTGTAAAATGAACAATATCCCTTCCAACTAGCCTTTACGAACAAAAAAAATAGGCATTAATCGCTTCCCCTTAGTCGGAGGATAAAATCCTACCTAAGGGTGAAGGCGAGTTATTGTCGATTACCAATTCAAGAATGACAAGTCGAGTGGACGAAGAGGGTGGCCACTAGAGGCGATTTTAGGAATTATTTCTACCTGTATCTAGCACAAACTAAATTTCTCTCACATGTGCCCCAGTAGCCTAGTGGTTAAGGCGCCGTGCTTATAGGGACTTTAACCTATACCTAAGCTACGCGGAGATCGCGAGTTCGACCCTCGCCTGGGGCATCAATTTTTTTTTGGATGACAATCCTTTTTACTTTCAGTGAAGGTATAGCTCAAGTTAGTGGTCAAGAAAATGGGGTTATGGGTCTAAAACTTACTAAGTAATCGATTCTTTTGTCGCCAATGTGAAATAGTGAAGCACGCAATTATATCAACACATGGTAATGAATTTTAAGAGATGTCTTGGGAATCCCATGAGATCTTGTAAAGGAATGCGAAAATCTCCAACGAAGGTCGTGCGTGAGAGTTGTTTGTTAGAAAAATGAAGAGCAAAATATGGACAGCGTTACTTTAGTGGATGAAACTTTGCAATACAAGTGAAGACTATTGAAATCGGAGGGAAACCTAATGGATAACGGGAGATAGGTGTCAACTCAATATGGGTTTCAAGATATCGATTGATACTGGCTGTTCAGCTTAATCGCGACTGGTAAAAAACTATTTTTTTAAAATTACAGGCTTGCCTTTTTCAATCATATTATATATTTTTTTTGAAAAATTGAACAGGCTGTTTCCCTTGCCAAGTAACTTTGCCTCTTCGCGCTATCTTGTTTAGAGTATTTTTTATATATATTTATTTTCACATTGCAGCGTTCCATTTTTTTTTTACTGTGGAGTACTGGCTATCTCTATTGGTGTCAGCCGATGCTGTGTGCTCTCTGAATAGACCAATCCGCGGTCTGATTTGAGCCCCTCTAGAAAAATTTGTACACACCCTACTATGGTTAAAGTGTAGATAAGATATATTGTGGTTTTTTAACCAATGGTGTTTAGTTGATTGATATCGTGGAAAGAGAGGGAAAGGGCGAAATCAAGTATTTCATGGGTTCGGTGGCTAAAGTGACGGTTTGGTATTAACCCTTATGGGAACTGTTATATGGTGACTATGCAAGCTCGGCGCCCTGCACGCCTCATTTAGCTCTTTTAGAGGCTTAATTTATATTAGAATACCAACATTTAACTGTTTAGTCGTGGCGTACGCATTCATTGCTTATCCAAGGTATGGGCTTCCAATGATGCGGCCAACGTGTTCTATCAATTGGGTGATGCTGGTTGCTGTTGTGATATAATTGGAAAACAATCCTATGCGAACGGCCGAAAAAATAATTGTTTAATGGGTATTTAGCTTCAGACATTTTAATTAAAGTTAGTAAGGGAAACTGGTCAATATATTTTGTAAGGCGTTAGAAAGGCTGGCATCGACTGGATCAACCCCCTTGAGGAAAATGGAAAGTTGGAGTATGGGTGACTTTACTGTTCTATATCACAGTAACCTGACTTATTCAATGTATCCACTTGGATGCATCAGATATATCTTTAGTCAGCGGATAGACCCTGGTTCACTCGGCTGAGCCAGCCACTGAATCAAGTCGGGGTGACAGGGGCCCGGAACTTAGCATTGATCTGAGAATTTAATACTTGCGCCTAAACTAATGTGTAGCATAGGCTAGGTTTTCCTATACAGGGGAGAAAGGGAGGTGTTTCTTATTCCGGCATGGCCCACCAACATGTTATGGTTGAATCCACTGGATAGTCCCAGTATAATTCGAAAGAAGGTCGGAGGAAACTGAGTTGGTATATCGTGTAAGTTCGTGAAGGTCCAGGGGGCCGCCGTCAAACCAAAGTAGAACCACTAAAGCCCCGGTCGGACCCCTAGGTCAACCCGTTGCCAAGCATTACCTACGTCGGGACGCCATTTTACCTGACCGCTTTTGTTACCGAGACTTCCCCCCACTCGAACTCCTGATTTTGGTAAACAAGGGACCTGCCCCCTCCTTAACCTCGGCAGTTAATCCGAGTACGACACTTCTATCCGGTCTAGGGATACATTCTTCGAATTCCTCGAGGAGTTCCAGGGGGGAGGTGCGGCGGAAATCAAGCCCTCCTGTACGTATATCATTATAATTTGTAGACATTTGCATCCTTGAACTCCTGTAGAATCCACTTATCCGTCAGCTACGGGACATGTATCACGCCAGATTATGAATACCGCCAGTTGATTGACTAAATCATACATATACTTTATGGTATTCCGCTTAGGCTCCATTTTAATATAAATACCCATCGACTCCCGGATGTTTCTGCCAAATTACACCTCTCGGATTTGCGACCACATTAAGTGCAACCTTCCACTCAGATACTACCTTTTGCCATTTCATATACAATTTTTTCCATTTATAGTTCCGTAAGTTGCCCATTTAAATCGATCATTGCTTGGGAGGCCCCGCTGAGTTCTATCGTCGTATTGGCCCCAATATATATATACACTATCCTGTGTGTAGCGACTACCTGTACTTACCCATTGTATCTGCCTATCCATAATACCTATTGGTTGACAACAGTCATTAATTAAGCGACCATGCTGCGCAATCTCTGCACGGGCCTATGCCTAGGGCTCGCCCTGTCCCCTTGGGGTGGATCTCTTGTTTCAGCCGCCTTTGACGCCAGCTGTAACTCCAACCTCGTCAATTACTGGGGCCAAAATTCTTACGGAGCGGCTAACCCCAGTGATTCCCAAAACTGGGAGAAACCCCTCGCCGATTACTGCCGCGACGATACCACGGACGTTCTAGTGCTCTCCTTCCTGCACATTTTCAATTCGGGCACCGATCGTTTGCCCGGCACCAACTTCGCCAACCACTGCGACGTGACCTTCCCCGGTACGGATCTTTTGTATTGCCCCGACATTGGTAAAGACGTTAGCTATTGTCAGTCCCGCGGCAAGAAGGTCCTGCTCTCGCTGGGTGGCGCGGCCGGTTCTTACGGGTTTGCTAATGATGCTGACGCGGTTAAATTCGCGAGCACTATTTGGAACCTGTTCCTCGGCGGTTCGTCCGATACCCGCCCCTTCGGGTCCGTCCAACTGGATGGTATTGATTTGGATATTGAAGGCGGGTCAAGTACCGGCTACGCCGCCTTCGTCAAGGCCCTGCGCAACATGTACAGTAAGGCGTCCGACGGCAAACATTACCTGGTGGCTGCCGCCCCCCAGTGTCCCTACCCCGATGCCTACATGGGCCCCCTTCTGAGCTCCAGCTGGGTCGATATGGTGTTTGTGCAATTCTACAACAACTTCTGCGGGGTCAACAACTTCCCCCGCTTCTTCAACTTTGAGGAGTGGCAGAACTGGGCCGATAAGGTGGCCGTCAATAAAAATGTCAAGGTGTACCTGGGGGTGGCCGGCTCCCCCAGTGCGGCGAGCTTCGGTTACGTGGGCCCGGACCGCTTGGCGGAAATCATCAACGACAGCCGGCCTAAATATCCAGCGTTCGGCGGAGTCATGATATGGGACGCCTCCCAAAGTTATAACAATAAGGTTGGCGGGTCCAGTTTTGCTCAGTCTATCAAAAGCACGCTGCGCAAGGGCCAAAAGTGCGCCAGCGGCACGCTCCCGTCCGATGACACTTCCTCCACGGAATACCCCGTCGAGACCAAGACCAGTAACGTACCCATTGCTACTACTACCCGCAGTGTTCCCGCGCCCTCAACCACTACCAGTGACAAACCCTCAGTGCCGAGTAAGACTAAGAGCGGATCGCCGAGTACTCCCACCGACCCCAGCGACACCTGCGTGGTTGAAGGAAGCCCATGCACGAACGCCAATCAGTACACCTGCAACGGCTACGACTTTGCCCAGTGTGTCTTTGGCCAATGGGTGATTCGTCACTGCAGCGAGGACCAGACCGTGGCCTGCTTTCCCTTGGGCAACGGTGGAGTCTACTGTGACCTCCCCCGCGGACGACCCGTTAAGGACTGTCCCAGTGCGGGGTCGGCCGCTGGCCTATTGACCCGTACCGATACTAGTTCCAACTCCCTCGTCGCGGGCGCCTGGACCCCTCAGAGCACCACGGTGCAGGTACCTAACCGCAATCCCCTGAGCAACATCCCCAAGCTAGATATTAACTTCCAGCTGGTGGACCAGGTCAGTCGGCGTTACCGGGCGCTCATGACCGTCCGAGTCACCACAGAAACCCCTATTTCCAAGGATTGGTCCATCACGCTTGCCATGCCCGCCGGGCAATCCGTGGACTCGGCCCACTATGATGTATCCAAGACCGCCATTTTCCAGCTTACCCAGACCGCTCCCGCGGGTCTCGTGGGTTCCCCCTCAAAGGCAGCCACTCCCGCCATCAATATTGAATCCGGGGCAACTTTCCAGGCGGGCGGCCCGAGCCAGATCACTATTTCCTCCAGCTGGTCGAACAGCCAGGCTACGTTCATGGCCCTTTACGTGGCCCTGGAGGGTACCCACAACAGCAGCACCCCCTTCACTTTCCCCGATGCCTCCATGATTTCGTTTACCGCCAATTAGGTATACTATTAAGTTATTTACCGACTATTCGACCTTATAGTCATATTTATTTATTTATATTTTAAATGACCGATTACCCGACCACTTCATACTAGTCGTACTGAGCTCTAGGGGCTATTTTCAGAGAACTTATTTTATAAAGACCTGCACTTACGTGCACCCACGCTAGCAACTGTGTCCTTCGTCGGTCAGGGAGTCTTGCAGTGTTCAAAATGAAAATAAACAATACTAATAGTAGAATTATAGGTGCTATTTCAGCCAGGCCCACCTGGGCTTGGTTACCCTTGGGATAGAGGCGCAACGCCCCTTTATTTGATTGATGCATGGGTTAAATCAGGCAGTAGTCATCCGAGAGAAAGGTTTCCATCCATTGGCAAACCCCATCCTTACTGGAGTCGTCGGCACAGGCCACTCCAGCAATGATATTTAAATTGCTCTTGGGTAGGGCAAATGAGACCGCCTCACCGCTTTCCTTGGAACAGAACGCGCTCAAAATCACGGCCTGGAAGGCCTCGAAGTTTTCGGGGAGGGCCGACATGGTGGCCAGGGCCAGTAGAGTCTGCTGGGCCCGCTCCTCCATTTGCCAGCGCATATTCGTATCCGCTTTCTGGGCCGCTCCGTAGAGGAGTCGGAAAAAAGCCGTGAGTAAATCCGACCGGTTGAGTTTGGCGGCGTAGATAAGGGGCATTTG